AATCTTATTTTAAACATTCTCATCACTGGCAACACAAAGCAGTCTTTAGATTTAACACATACAATTATCCAAAATTCACAGTCATTACTGGAGGTGAATTGTTAATAAAGATGGATATATATTAATGTACATCTATGCATACTAAATTAATATCAAGACTTCGATCTTTTTAAAACCTTGGGATTCAGGTCTGTTTTTGGATAGTACAGAATAACTTCAGAGCCTGCACATTTCACTCCTGATTGTTCTCTGTCAGCTTTTGAATGTGATGGGCTGCTGGCGAAATGGATCCCAGCCCCAAAACAAAAACAGGACAGTTGCCCTTCAGCAATTTCCTGACAAACATTTCCCCTTGTTTTTTTCCTTTATCTTTTCTAAGGACTTTGGAGATTTGATACCCACAGAAAGTTCACAAATACAATAAATGCTTTCTTTTCGAGACAGAAACTTGAATGATGAAAATTAAAAAGAGGGTTCACCAAGGAAAGGACAAGTATGATAACAGGATGTTGTGAAAGAAGTAGGTCAAACCCCTCAGATTAAGGAGCATGTGAATTAAATTAATTCTTAGTGTACCTGTGAGTGCCAAATGTGACTCAATCTGCAACTTTATGTAATTACACCACAGAATTTTCTTCATGTGAAACATTAGCCTGTGGGACATGAAACTCCAAAATGCATCCCCAGAGTATGGAAAATGCTCCTTTGCCTACTGGGAAATAGAAATCTGTTTTCCTCTGAATGCACCTTTTCAAGGGGAAATGTTTTGTTACATGCCGTCTTGCTAGTTGAGATGGAGATGAAAGCCGTGAAATAGTCTTAGTTTGGGAAAAGAGAGTGTGGGGATTCTTTGCCTTACCCCAGCCTGGCTGTCACCTCGTCACCTCTATGGGGAGGGGGGCCTAGGTTTTGTGAGTATTCCAGCATGTTTGAAAAGAGACCCAGCATGTGGTCTACAGAGACCCCCGTCCTCCTCCGTGCAAGGAAACATTGTGAGAAAAAGACAGAATGTCCACAAGCTTTTATTGAATATTAAAAGACCCATCTGAGATCTGGAAGAAAGAAATTCCTTGGTAGATGAGACGGTCTCTGTATTGAATGTGAAGATGTTGTGATGGAAAAGGGGAGAGAGGGAGTGAACTTTACCCTGCCCTCATTAGGATCCCATTGGATTGTGGAGGGAAACATTGTCACTGGATTTGGAAGGACAGCCAAGTCCACAGGGGTTTATGTATTTGAAAATCTTAAGGGTAGTAGAAAGAAGCACTGATTGGAAGTGCTGCAATGTTTGCATTTAGTTGCTTTGAGAACTTTTTCAAGGATCTTTGGATTGATTTTTTGTCTCTCTCTCCTTTTAATGGAATATTTGTGATGTTATCAATGCTGCAGTGAGCTGTGTATTTGCCTTTCTTCAGTCACAGAACTGGAGAAATATAGAAGCATATCCACAAAGATCAGCATGCAGGCTCTGTGTTTGCTGGTGGTGTTGTTTTCGGTGCTGGTTGTGCTCGGAGTCCCCAAAGAGCACAAGGATGTGCACAGGGCCCTTCGCCCTGCCGTCTCCCCGAAGTCTCAAAGGTGTAAACGGCTGCCTACCAACCCTCAACAAAACCACCACACTTTCAGGCACCACCACAAATGTAGAGATCTTTTTCACAGTAAGTACATTTGTGTCTCATAAACTTTTCAATCATTCTCATATAACATTTCAATATCATTAGCAGTTTTTGGGTTTGGGGCTGTTGAATATGACTTGGAACACTTTGCAGTCAGAGAGATATTGGATTTTTATTTTTTGTTTTTTTTTGCTACATTGGAAGTTGTTGGATGCACTTTTTGTGTGAAAACTGTTTGGCTGTGGTGTTAAAAGCTATGTTTCCTCTGTGACCATCACAACTCGGGCAGAATGTCCTTTTTCTTGTCTCTGTGGGTCTGTTGGAAGTTGAAAGTGAAGGAGCAATATATATATATATATATATATATATATATATATATATATATATATA